GCCCCGTCCGTCCTTTCCACCCCATTCCTCCCCATCCCAGCCCGTCCGTCCCACCTGGGCACCCACCTGGGGGGCTCGGTGACAGCGGCAGGGGCAGCGGTGACAGGGGGGTCCTCGGGCGCGGGGCCGCGCGGGCGCGAGCAGAGGCCGAGGCCGGGGCAGGCGCGGGGGGCTCCGGGCAGGACCCCCGGCAGGTTCCCCATCGCGGCCCCACTGAGCCGGGAGCGGCCGCTTCCCGCTTCCTACTGCCCGGGGAAGTGGTGACGAGGCCGCGACGCCCCCGCCCCGCACACAATGGGCACCGCCACCTCCGCCGCCACCTCCGCCGCCACCGCCACCGCCACGCGGCGTGGGACACACCGGGGACCCCAGCGCGGGGAGTGGAACCCAGTCTGCCCCCGGCCCCCCGCCTGTGGCCGTGGGGAGGGAGCGATGGCACCCAGAGAGGGGGACACTCGTGGAGGGGACATGGCCCGTGGGGGGACTTGGGAACACACATGACACCCGGGTGGGACACAGCCCTGGGGGGGGACAGGGAACTGGGGGGGATATATGGCGCTGGGGGGCACGCATGGCAGCCAGAGGGGGGCACACGGCACCTGGGGGGACACAGCACTGAGGAGGACGTGGCACCCACGGGGACATGGCACCCTGGGGACACAGCGATGGCACCCAGAGGGAGGACACAACCCTCATGGGGGACACACAGCACCTGGGGGGCCGCGGTGGTGGCAGGGACCCCCATCCTGGCCACAGGACACTGTACGCCCCCACACCTTTTCACCGGGTGATTGGATGCCCCGGGGGGGTCCCGGACCGCCCCCAGACCCCCGGCCGTGGGGCGGATGTCCTGCGGGACCCCCCCCATTTCCCGCTGCTTCCACCCAGTTCCGGCCATTGACGCGCTGGGCGCTGCCGGGGACCCCAGGTCAGCACCCCTGGGGGAACCAGGCAGGGGGGGTGCACCCCGCGACCCTCCCGGGGCACCCCGCGAACCGCGCGGGGTGGGGGTTCACCCCAGCTGCCGGCGGGGAGGGTCTTACGGTGACCCCGGAGTGGGGCGGGGGTCGCGGGGCCGGGAGTCCGGGACGGGGGCGCTCTTGGGGTGCGGGGGATTGGCGGGGCGTGCGGGGTCCCCCGGGTGGCGGCGGGTGAGTCCCTCCGGAGGTCGAGGAGGGGCTCAGCCCGCAGCTCACGCAGCGACGGGAAACCGCGCCCGGTGCCGGGCCGGCGGTTCCTTCCTGCGGGGGGGGAGCGGGGCGGGGGCACCGGGAGGCGCGGGGCGGGACCGAGGCATGGCACGGGGGGCACAGCCGGGCCGGGGGGCGCCGCAGGGACCCCCGGGGGACACGGAGGGGGGTTCCATCGCCCCGTCGGGGGGGATGCCGGGTGGCCGCCCCCGCCCCGCGGTGCTCCCCGCCCCCGCGGGCCGTGGGGAGGGACAGACCCGACCGTCCGCCGTGCCCGGGGCGGGACTCGGCCGCGGGGCAGGCGGGGGTGACGAGGGGCAGGCCTTGACACCCCCCAGCTCCCGCCGCCCCACAGCCCCTCCAAATCCACAGCCTCCTCTGTGCCACGGTCTCGTCCAGCCCCAGAGCCCCCCCGCACCCCACAGCCCCCCCGTACCCCACAGCCCCCCGTACCCCACAGTCCCCCTGCACTCCACAGTCTTCCCACACCCCGCAGCCCCCCGGTACCCCACAGACCCCCCCGTACCACCATACCCCAGCCCGGCTCGGCTGAGCCCCGCTCGTTCTGCTCTGTCCGGTCACGTTTGGTCGGATTCGGTCGGTGTGGTCAGTCCAGTGGATCCATTTGTGTCCGGTCGGTCCATTCGGGGGTGGTCGGTCCCAGTCGGTCCGTTCGGGTCCGTTCGGGTCCGTTCGGCTCCCAGTCGGTCCGGTCGGGTCCGTTCGGTTCGTTCGTGGCCACTGGAAGCCGCTCGCAGCCGGTCGGTCCAGCCGGTCGGGTCGGGACTGCTCGGATCCGGTCGGGTCCGGTTGGCACACTCAGCCCGGTCGGACCGGCTGGTTCCGTCGGTCTATTCGGGTCCGGTCGGGTCCGGTCATCCCGGCCGGTCCCCGCGGTCGCGGCCCCGGGGCCGGAGCCATTTTCAGCACCTGGGACAGAGACCGGGAGCATCCCGGCCAGCGCCGGGCTCGGGACTGAGACCGGGACCGGGCCGGAACGGCGCGGAGCTGGCACTGGGACTTGGGGCTGGACGGGGCTCTGACAGGGACTGACACCAGGGCCGGAACACAACTGGATTGGGCTCACGTGGGACTGGGATCGGCACTGGGACCAGAACCGTGGCTGGGACTGGGAATGGTCCGGACTGGAACAGCACTGAGACCCTGCCTGGACTGGGACTGGTCTGGACTGGAACAGCGCTGGGACCCTGCCTGGACTGGGACTGGTCTGGACTGGGACAGCGCTGGGACCCTGCCTGGACTGGGACTGGTCTGAGGCTGGGACAGCACTGAGACCCTGCCTGGACTGGGACTGGTCTGGACTGGGGCAGTGCTGAGACCCTGCCTGGACTGGGACTGGTCCGGACTGGGACAGCGCTGGGACCCTGCCTGGACAGGGCTGGTCTGGACTGGGACAGCACTGAGACCCTGCCTGGACTGGGACTGGTCTGGACTGGGACAGCGCTGAGACTCTGCCTAGACTGGGACTGGTCTGGACTGGGACAGCGCTGAGACCCTGCCTGGACTGGGGCTGGTCTGGACTGGGACAGCGCTGGGACCCTGCCTGGACTGGGACTGGTCTGGACTGGGACAGCGCTGGGACCCTGCCTGGACTGGGACTGGTCCGGACTGGGACAGCGCTGGGACCCTGCCTGGACTGGGACTGGTCTCAGCTGGGACCAGGACTGGGACTGGGTTGGGATTGCACTGGACTCTGAAGGAGCTGGACTGGTCTGGAAGTGGACTAGGGCTGGAGTGTGAACTGGGACCGGGACTGAGACTTGGACTGGACTGAACTGGAACTGAGATTTGGACTGGATGGACACTGGTACTGGGACCAGACTGGACTGGGACTGGACAGGAAAGGGGATTGGGATTAGGATTTAACTGGGGCTGTGACTAGACTGGGACCACAACTGGATGGGACAGGGACTAGATGAGGTCTGGGCTGAGACTGGGACAGGACAGGACTGGGAGTGGGACAGGAACTAGGACTATGACAGAGACTAGAGCTGGGATTGGATAGAGATTAGGGTTAGACTGGGATTGGGCCTAGGGCTGGCCTGGGGCTGGTACTGGAACTAGCCCGGGAAGAGGATGAGGCTGGGCCAGGATGGCAGGGAGGCCACTGGAAGCCAGGGAGGCTGGGCTGTGCCTGGAAGCTGCTGCCCCACACGGCCCCGTGTCCCAGTGTCCCACTGTCCCTGTGTCTCAGTGTCCTGGTGTGCCAGTGTCCCCACAGCTCGATGTCCCCATGTCACGGTGTCCTACTGTGCTTTATTCTGGTGTCTTGGTGTCTAAAAGTACCCATGTCCCTGTGTCCCAGTATCCCGATGTCCTGGTAACCCAGTGTCCCCATGTCCTCATGTCCAGGTGTCTTCATATCCCAGTGTCCACAAGTCCCCATGTTCCTGCGTCCTGGTGTCCCCATGTCCCCGCGTCGCCGTGTCCTGGTGCCCCCGTGTCCCCCATGTCCCTGTGTCCCCATGTCCCCATGTCCCTGTGTCCCCATGCCCCCCCAACCGAGCCCAACCGAGCTCGGCCCGCCCGAACCGGGCCGCGCCCGCCCGAGCCCAGCCGAACGCGGCCGGGCCGAGCCGAGCCCGGCCGAACCCAGTGCAGCCGAGCACAGCCGACCCCAGCCCAGACGAACCGCGCCGAACCCCGCCGAGCTCGCCCGCGCTCAGCCGAGCCGGGCCGGGCCGGGCCGAGCCGCCGCAGCCGAACCGAAGCGAACCGAAGCGGGCCGAACCCCGCCGCACCGAACCGGCCGAGCCCGGCTCAGCCCGGCCGTTCCGAACGGAGCCGAACCGTTCCGACCTGTTCCGAGCGGCGCCGAGCGCGCGGGGCGGGTCCCGGTCCCCCCCGGCCGCTCCGTGACTAAATAAGGCCGATGGCGCGGCGCGCACCGGGCGGGTAGAGCGGGGGGGCTCGGCCCCGCCGCCCCCCTCCGGCTCCCCGCCCCGGCCCCGCAGCACCGCAGGGGGGAGGGGAGTGAGGGGACGGTGGCCCTGGGTGGGTTTGAGGTGACAGGGACAAGCCCGGCAGGGAGGGACCCTGCTCACCCTGGCGTGCGGGAGTCCCCAGCCCGAGGTGGGCTTGCGGTGACGGGGATTGCTGCCCACCCTGTCCTCCAGCAGCCCCTGCCTCTGGGGTGCCAGAACGGGGCCTTCCCCACCGTCCCCGAGGTGTGGAGCCCCCACCACCAGCTCAGGATGCTGTGAGACTGGGGGTCCCACTGGCCTGTGCCCCCCCACACTGCCCAGCAGCTGGTGCAAGGGGACCTGGCAGAGTGGGGGCTCTGGGAGACTGAAAATCTGGGGGTTCCCAGCGCCTCTCTGGGGTCAGGCCCTGGGCATCCCCCGGCCTGGAGACAGGGCAGGGATGTGGGGGGAGTGCTGCCCGTGGGTGGGGCTGGGGGTGTCACCTGCTGGGGGACAGGCTGTGCTCGGGGGGTCTGGCCTGGCTGAGCCACTGCCCTCAGGGTGGGGAGGTGGGGGTCCCAGGGTCCCCGTGGTGGTGGTGTCCTTAAGGGGTCTCTGCACTTATGGGGGTCCCCGTGGTGATGAGGGGGTCCCAGAGTCCCTGCTGTTGTGGGGTCCCTGTGAGGTGTCTGCTCAGCTGGGTCCCTGCAGTGCTGAGAGCCCCTGGGTCCCCGTGGTTATGGGGTCCCTGCAGTGCTGAGAGCCCCTGGGTCCCCGTGGTTATGGGGTCCCTGCAGTGCTGGGAGCCCCTGGGTCCCCGTGGTTCTGGGGTCCCTGTGACGGTGGGATCCCAGCGGACCTGGGGTCCCCACGGCGGTGATGGCACCAGCTGAGGGGTCCCTGGGGAGCGGGCGGGGTGACTCCTGGCGTGCGTGCCCCCGGAAGCCCGGAGCCGCGGGTGGACGGGTGCAGGGGACCCCCGCCGTGGGGTCCCTGCAGTGCTGGGAGCCCCTGGGTCCCTGTGGTTATGGGGTCCCTGCTCTTGGGGGGTCCCTGCAGTGCTGGGAGCCCCTGGGTCCCTGTGGTTATGGGGTCCCTGCTCTTGGGGGTTCCCTGCAGTGCTGGGAGCCCCTGGGTCCCCGTGGTTATGGGGTCCCTGCAGTGCTGGGAGCCCCTAGGTCCCTGTGGTTATGGGGTCCCTGCTCTTGGGGGGTCCCTGCAGTGCTGGGAGCCCCTAGGTCCCTGTGGTTATGGGGTCCCTGCTCTTGGGGGGTCCCTGCAGTGCTGGGAGCCCCTAGGTCCCTGTGGTTATGGGGTCCCTGCTCTTGGGGGTCCCTGCAGTGCTGGGAGCCCCTGGGTCCCCGTGGTTATGGGGTCCCTGCAGTGCTGGGAGCCCCTGGGTCCCCGTGGTTATGGGGTCCCTGCAGTGCTGGGAGCCCCTGGGTCCCCGTGGTTATGGGGTCAGGCCGGGCCGGGGGGGGGCTCCGGCCTGACCCACCCGCCCCTCTCCCTCCAGGCCGCAAGTTCATCATCGGGAACGCGCGCGTGGAGAACTGCGCCGTGATCTACTGCAACGAGGGCTTCTGCCGGCTCTGCGGGTACTCGCGGGCCGAGGTGATGCAGCAGCCCAGCACCTGCGACTTCCTGCACGGGCCGCGCACCCAGCGCCGCGCCGCCGCGCAGATCGCCCAGGCGCTGCTGGGCGCCGAGGAGCGCAAGGTGGAGATCTGCTTCTACCGCAAGGATGGTACGGAGCGGGGACAGCGGGACAGCGGGGACAGCGGGACAGCGGGGACAGGGGGACAGCGGGGACAGCGGGACAGCGGGACAGCGTGGACAGCGGGACAGCGGGACAGCCGGGACAGCGGGGCTGCCCCTGCCGCCAGGGTGGTGCTGAGCCCCGGGGACAGGCCTGGGGACAGGGCACGGGGACAGGGCTGGCTGGCAGGAGCTGTTGGCTCAGGTGGAGCCCAGGGGGCTCGCAGCGCTCTCCGGCACCGTGGTGGTTCCCAGCAGGGTTGCGAGCCTGGCGCTGGTGGCTCCGGACGGGCACCAGCCCCCTGCGAGCCCTCAGCCCCTCCTGAGGTGGGCCCAGGGAGCCACCAGGGGTTGTGGGGGGCAGTGATCCCCGCAGACGGGGCGCGGAGGGGCTGTGCCACCCGCAGCAGGGACGCGGGAGCAGTGGGCTGAGCTGGGGTCACAGTGCCACCATCCCCGGGGACAGGTGACGCCGCGGGGTCCCCGTGCTGGGAGCTGTGCCCCTGAGCCGGGCTGGCTCCCCGCCTTGGTAGTGCTGGTGCTTCCCCTCAGCGTGGCCCCGTGCCAGTGCCAGGTGTCCCGGCTGTCACCACAGCTGTCCCGGCTCTGGGCACACGGCCCCGGTTCCGGTGCTGGAGTAAACAAAGCTGGTGCCAGCTGCCATGCGGAGCCACCGTGGCCCCGGGAGCCCCGGGAGGTGGGCTGGGGCCAGAGGCACCCTCCTGGCTGGCCCTGGCACCCTGGCCCTGCTGCATGGCTGTGCCTGGCACGCCCCCGTGCCCCTTGGAATGTGCAGCGCCGGGGCTCTGGGGCACAGGCGGACACGGGTGCCCCCCTGGAGCCTTGTTGTGCCCTCGCTGGGGTGACACTGGTCGGCCTGCTGGGTGCCACAGCGGTGGGGCTCCTGCCTGGGGTCCTCCTTGGGTCCCCAGAGAGCTCAACACCCCCCGGCTGTGCCCCCTGAGCAGCGTGGGGGTCTCAGCCCTTAGCAGCCCTCGCGTGCTGCCAGGGAGAGGTGGGACGGGGGGTTCCAGCAGTCATGAGGGGTCCCTGCCCCTGGGAGCTTCTGTGGGGCCCATGGGGAAGAGTGGTGGGGGCTCTGGGGGTGCTCTGGGAGCCCCCGCCGGGACAGGGCAGTCCATGGGGACCGGCTGTCCCTTGGGATGGGGAGGGACCCTCGGCAGTGAGGTGGGTCTGGGGGTCCTGGGCCCCTTGGCCAGAGGCTGCTGCGGGGGTGCCGGCCCTGGGGGCTGCAGTGGTGCCACCGTGGGGGTCTCCTGCCCATACCAGCCACTGTGTGAGGGTGCTGGGGGGGTTCCACTCACTGCACTGGGACCCCCCAGGCGCCGTGGGGCAGGGACCTTGCTGCCAGTGGCTCCGGCGTGCCCGGTGCTCCCGCTGCCACTGCAGGGGTGCCCTCGGGGTCGTGTTGTGGTGCTCACCGGCACCCTGCAGCCCCCAGCCCGAGCCCCTGGCGTGTCCCGGTGGCCGGTGCTGTGTCCTGGAGCCGCGGAGGAGCCGTGCTGGAGCCGCCGCCGCTGCTGCAGCCATTTGTCTTCGCGACGTGTTGTTTATGGAGCCGGGGACGCGGGGAGGTCACGCCGCCCGCGGGGCACCTGTGTCCCCGCAGGGACACCTCAGGGGCGCCAGGCTGCGTGGGGGGGCACGGAGGGGGCGCCGACGCCCCCCGGTTGCTGCTGTGGCCTTTGGGGAACCCCCCGTGCGTGGCCCCCGGTGCGGGTGCGGGGTGGGAGCGGCCAAGCATGGCCTTGTCCCTGTGGCACCCCGGGCTGTGGGGGTCCCCCTGCGCCACACGGGTGTCCCCAGCCTGGCTGCAGGCCTCGGGGTGCAGCTGGCTCCTCGGTGCGGGGGTGCGGGTCCCAGGACAGTGGGTGCGGTGAGGAGGGGCAGGGATGTGGGTCAGGGGGGTCCCCCCACTTTGGGGGTCCCGGTGCCCCGTGGCGGTCACGGGGAGCAGTGTTGGGGTGCAGGGGGGTTTGGGGCACAGCTCTGGAGGTCGGCAGTGCCCTTAGGGGTGAGGGGGGCAGGGGGGCGGGGTGTCCTGTGCCACTGCGGTGCCCCCCGTGTCCCCCCTCCCCGGGAGAGCCCCCTCAGCAGCTGGACCCGAGCGGCACGGGTCCCCTGGGGGCGCTGGCTCGGCGAGGACCCCGCGGGAGCCCGGGGCCACCCTGTGCCCCCCCCGTGCTGGCCCGCGGCCCAGGGAATCCCCCCGCCGCGGGCACGGGAGCAGGGACAGTGCCAGCTGGCACCCACCGTGCCAGGCTGCCGGGCCCGGCGCCAGCCGGGGGGACTCGGTGCTTGGCGTCACCCGCGTGTCCCCCTGGCACCACCCACCCGTGTCCGCGTAGGGTGAGGGCTGCCGGGGGGGAGCAGGGTGCCCCCCCCCCCCATCCCCCAGAGGTTGCCCCGGGCTGCCCTGACCACCCCCAGGTCCCCCCGCCCCCAGCTGTGGCACCGGATTAACGCCACAGCTGTGAACGAGTTCTGAGCGGCTTAACCCTGCCCGGCACCCCCAGAGCCCCTCCGGCCCCCCCCGCCCGGCGCCGCTGCCCACGCACAGACATGCCACGACATTTGGGGGGAGAAAGGGGGCACCCCCGCCCTTCCGTGCCTCAGTTTCCCCCGCGCTGCAGCTGCAGTGGGGCTGTCTGGTGGGGTCAGTGTTGGGGGGCAGGCGGGGGTGATCCCCGGGGTAGGCAGGAGGGGGGTTCAGCAAGAATGGGGGGGTGACAAGGGGGGCTCCTCAGGAGGGGGTGCCCAGCAGGGTCGGGGGGCAGGAGGGGGTGCCTGGCAGGGACAGGGGCAGTGTCTCCAGGGATGTTTGGGGGTGCCACCCCCCCATGTCACTGACCTCCCTCCCCACAGGCAGCTCCTTCCCGTGCCTGGTGGACGTGGTGCCAGTGAAGAACGAGGATGGCACCGTCATCATGTTCATCCTCAACTTCGAGGCCGTGAGGGAGCCTGAGCCCGGGGAGGCCCCGACCCCCAGCACCAACCACTGGGTCACCCCGGCCCCCTGGGGCCCTGCAGGTATGGGGACAGGGACACCGGGTCCCCCCCAGCTATGGGGACAGGGACACTGGGTCACCCCCAGCTCTGGGGGACAGGGACACTGAGGCACCCCAGGTATGGGGACAGGGACACCGGGTCACCCCCAGGTGTGGGGGACAGGGACACCGGGTCACACCCAGCTATGGGGACAGGGACGCCGGGTCACCCCAGGTGTGGGGACAGGGACACCGGGTCAGCCCAGGTATGGGGGGGACAGGGACACCGGGTCACCGCCAGCTATGGGGACAGGGACACTGGGTCACCCCCAGCTCTGGGGGACAGGGACACTGGGTCACCCCAGGTATGGGGACAGGGACACCGGGTCACCCCCAGGTATGGGGGACAGGGACACCAGGTCACCCCCAGGTGTGGGGACAGGGACACCGGGTCACCCCCAGCTATGGGGACAGGGACACTGGGTCACCCCCAGCTCTGGGGGACAGGGACACTGGGTCACCCCAGGTATGGGGACAGGGACACCGGGTCACCCCCAGGTATGGGGGACAGGGACACCAGGTCACCCCCAGGTGTGGGGACAGGGACCCCGGCTCCCCCCAGGTATGGGGACAGGGACCCCGGCTCCCCCCAGGTATGGGGACAGGGACCCCGGCTCCCCCCAGGTATGGGGACAGGGACCCCGGCTCCCCCCAGGTATGGGGACAGGGACCCCGGCTCCCCCCAGGTATGGGGACAGGGACCCCGGCTCCCCCCAGGTATGGGGACAGGGACCCCGGCTCCCCCCAGGTATGGGGACAGGGACACTGGGGCACCCCCCGCTCTGGGGACAGGGACACCAGGTCACCCCAGCTATGGAGGGGACAGGGACACCGGGTCACCCCAGCTATGGGGGGGACAGGGACACCGGGTCACCCCCAGCTCTGGGGGACAGGGACACTGGGTCACCCCCAGCTCTGGGGACAGGGACACCAGGTCACCCCAGGTGTGGGGGACAGGGACACTGGGTCACCCCAGGTATGCGAGCAGGGACACCGGGTCACCCCAGCTATGGGGACAGGGACACTGGGTCACTCCCAGGTATGGGGGACAGGGACACTGAGTCACTCCCAGCTATGGGGACAGGGACACTGAGTCACTCCCAGCGATGGGGACAGGGACACCGGGTCACCCCCAGGTGTGGGGACAGGGACACCGGGTCACCCCCAGCTCTGGGGGACAGGGACACTGGGTCACCCCCAGCTCTGGGGACAGGGACACCAGGTCACCCCAGGTGTGGGGGGCAGGGACACC